GCGCAAGGCGCGCTTCTGAATACGTTCCAGCTCCTCGGATAAATAGTACGGAAGACATCAATTTATACAGTTTAATATGGCAGAATGGATCGAAATTCAACAGTTTTAAATGGACCAATGGAAAGTATTTGTTTTCTAACTTTGAACAACTCACACGACTTTGTCACGTTTGTGTTGCATCTTTAATGAGCAGATGAAGAGGAAAAGACGAGATTCTTGAATTACCGAGACGGCAAAATACGAGCAAAATATTCTCCGTAGTCCCGACTACGCGACACAGCTCAACAACTCACCGTAGCCGCAGGAATACGCGGGAAAAATGAACAGTCGCGTGGTTTTGATCATGCGCAGTAGCATGTTTAACCGTAGTCGTAGTCCGTAGTCGCTAACCTGAGATCAGGCCCAATTTGAGCGGTTCTCATACATTCTCTCTAACGGCTACCGCTTTTTTTCGTTTCGTCTACCCGCCGGAATGTAATTTTCAAAGCGAAACGAAAATAGAGCCTGATCTCAGGTTAGTAGTCGCCGTATCTTAAACTCCCTAATGTATTCCCACGGGACAAACAAATCTCCAAATGCGTTTGATATTTGCATACGAAAAGTTCAAACCATGACTCATTCGAACTTGTTGAATATTAAAACTTAGTCTTGAATAAAACGTGTAACGATAAATGAGATTTATTTCTGAAATAAATGGTTTTATGCTGAATGTGACGGATCAATATTGTATTTCTCCAGCTACCAGCAAAGGAGGGTTTTCTTGTTATCCGGGTGATTTGTCACGAAAGTGTCATTTATGTCACGGGTCATATCAGTCACGGAAGCGAGGCACAAGGCCTCCTTCCTCGCATTACAAGATAGTCAGAAACATTTTTGATGGCGACCAGATTTAAGATGTAGGATGCTAGCGATTTATCAGTCTCGTTTGCTCTCCTTGGGTCTTACCTACCGAACATCACCTCTTCTTTGGGATAAGTACTAGATTATTGCCCAATGGCTCACTGCCTACTCTCGGTGCTGTATTGATGTCCACAGATGTTCGTGCGCATGATCGTCTTGTTGATTTCGGGAATTTATACATGTTGCGGTCGTTTAAGCCAATGAAATGTCATTGTTTAACTGTGACATCGAATTCCACATCCAAGTGACCATTAATTTTTAATGTTTTCAGTTACACTGGCGTTCACGCGAGTCCGTTCGGTGTCTGTAGCACTTCGTTGTCCCTCAGACTGGTTGTGCTTCTTCTTCCTTCAGCTACTTGTATCGCTAGTGCCAACTGGCGCTATACTTAAAATCAGTAACACTCGCCCGATCTTCAGTTGAAATTTTTATTTATACCAGTCTGGTGCTGGATCTCTTTGTTAATGATCTTAGCTGTTTTACGATTTAGAAAGACACTTTATTTATTCATAATTATTTTGAGTTTACCTTTTTGCACATTTGACAATCTTTGACCTTTGGACTCAGCTTATATGTATAAATTAAAATTACAGTATTATAAAAAAAAAACAACCACAACAAGAACGACAACAAAACAAAGCCAAACAAAAACATACGTTATTAAACCCCACAGGTTAAAACTTTCTTGTACCATACCTGCAACACTTTAACAAGGTTTAGAAATTAGCTTGCAACCATTCTAACAAAGTTACCTCAGAAGTACAGTGTACTGTATCAGCATATCGGGTTTATCGTTTGCTGTCCATATGTCAGTTTTCTCTGCATATTGTGTTTTTATCTTGTTGCATTGTGTATCGTTGTGTTCTGTTGTTTTCCTTTACTCGCTGTCGGCGACATTTTGTCTGCCAGTGCTTACTTCTGGGTCGTTTTTTCAGCGTGAGGCTTTGTTCCTCCACTTGTATTTGAGGCGTTGTCCTCATTTTGTTGAAGTTTTGTCCTCATGGTGTATCAAGGCTTTGTCCTTGTTTTCTATATCGAGGCTTCGTCCTCATATTTTACATTGTATTTTGAGGCTTCATCCTCATATTTTATACTGAGGCTTTGTCCTCATATTTTATATTGAGGCTTCGTCCTCATTGTTTTATATTGAGGCTATGTTTCTCAGTTTTGAGGCTTTAGTCCTCATTATTGTAGGCCCCTGTTACTTTCTTTGTACTGCTTCTTTGGTTTTTTTCCAGTGATATGTGTGTGGTTCTGTTTGTTTGTATTTTTGTCTAGGGTAACCAGATGCCAATATTATTTGGTTTGACTTTCTATTCACATTTTTTAACTTTTATGTCTATTTTTTAGTCTTCAGTCGTTAAATCCGTTATTTTGGTTTACATGCAGCTATATTAATTTTAATCTCTGGTTTTGTCGGCTCCCCTGTTTTGATATGTGTGGACATTATAGTCCTGTGTTTATTGTGATGCAACACCGTAATGTGTTGCTTTTATGCTTCACTCTCCAGGTCACATCATTACTTTTAGCTTTGTTGTTTTGGGGAATTTACTGTTAATTCCTTTTTGTTTGGGAGATCCTGATTTAATTGGGCAATTCC